CTTCTTTTATGAGTATACTTTTTCAAGAGGTGGCGCATATGCATCGAACAGGCGGTGAGTACTAACCGGAGGTATTTAGCCCAGGATTAGAGGCCGGGGCGGATTTACGCCCAACGTGTGGGAGCATTCCAGTAACATGAAAAACAGGGTATATTCAAACTCGTTGCGCATTTGCTTTTAATATTCGTATATTTTCTCAAAAATTTCCTTAAAATTTCCTTACTCCCTGTATATGAGGTGATTTGGCCGGAATGGTAGCACTTTTGTTAGTAGTGAAGAGCCATTGATAAGGCTGTCGATGCTTTCCTCTTACGAAGAAACACTACGTCTGAGCAGGCTGATGAAGTTTTTCGACTTTCTGACGCGTGCCAACAGCGCCAGCCCCCTCCCAGTGATTCCGACTCCTGCATTTTTCCCGTTTTTATATACCTCAGGACACGTTCGAGGTTCATTATTGATTGAAAGCTTGTTTATGGAGAAGAATGTTTTCCCGCATGGGGGTTTTTGTGTAGGCCAGTTATCTAGCCTAGAGCAAATTAGCACTTATCCACCGAGGCTTAGAGCAATTTGTTCGATACGGCGTCCCATGCGATTAAAAGTAGTTGTTTCACTGCAACATGTGTTTGCACGAATGGTCCTTTGGTAAGAAAGAAAAGTTAATCCCACCCCATTTCGCAGCGACTCAGCCGTCTGTGTCTACAGTTCAGGGATGAAACACAGACGTCGCCTACTCTAAATACCGGTTTGCATACCTGAGATACCTTAATGCCTTTTTTTGGAGTTTCACCAAATATTAAAATTCGACTGTTTTTCCTTTGTTGGTCTATACTACGACCAAATTACACATGTGGTCGTAAGAAACGTCTTACCCCGTCTTGCTTCAACTTTTTTAAAAGTTTTTAGTTTCATTATTTTCATTAGCAATTTAGTAGCATTCCAAATTTCCCAGTACTTGAGATATTGATTTAGATGAACTTCAAAATTCAACCATCCCTACCGCATTTTTTACATATATTCCACGGTTTCTAAATTTAGGTTTGAACGCACGAGGTAAGTTTTGGAAAAGCCACAGCTGAATGCAGTCAAAGCAAATTATTTCAGGAAATATGCTATAGGAACCAAAGTGCTTCTACGCCTACACGATCCGGAGCTTTCGGAGCTATTTTTGGGTTCGAAAACAGAGCTCACCTTACTGGAAGCAGATGCTACAATCTTGGGACTGTACAGTACTCATAGCGATAGATCAAGGAAAGCAGCTTCTCTAACTGATATCGAAAATGAAGGTGAGTGCGGCGGACAGCATAATTTTTGCCGTAATTCAATTCCGAAAACTAGTTTTCGAATTTATCTTGGATTTTCAACGTAATTTTGTTTTAGCGAATAGAATCAGAGCTTCGACATCCAGAGATACTGGTGGACCGAAGGAATTGGCCGAGAAACGTAGCAAAGTGTGAAGATTTTTAGGACCAGCTCACGAACTCTCCACAATCTTCCCTGAAATTTCAACGGTGCCGTAATTTTTCTCAAAAAAAAAAAAAAAATATTTAGACGATTTATTATAATTCCCCTTTTTGTATTTGAATTTGTATTGCGGTATGCTTGTCATTTTTTTTTT